AAAAAAAAAAAAAAGAAAGAAAAGAAAAGAAAAGCAACAAAAGATGTGAAAGTAAATTTTAGTTTCAAAAATACTTCAGTCCACTAGCCAGAGACCCTGCATATGGACAATTCAAGAAGAGGGCCAAGAAATCAGACCCATCTATTCCCGTGATATAAAGTTGAACAGAAGCTACACCGAGGGTCGAGTGTCTGTATTTTACAGGACACAGTAACCAGGCGGCTACTTATTAAAAAAACAAGATTCATTTCAGGTACAACTTTTTTATTTTTATTTTTTCTGTTTTGTTTTTAAACCAGTAAAAGAAACTGGGTCCTAGGAGCTGCAGTGATCTAAAAACTAAAAGTAAATGTTAGTTTCAGAAATACAATGTCTGATTCATCATAATTTTTAGTATGCGTCTCTAGCAGATTTGTTTAAGCTTCTGATGAGCTCAATCCTAGATGCTCAGATCCAATTCTGGTCCAAAGCAAGTGATTAGAAAATGTCTGATGACACATAGACCAATGAAACAGAATAGCAAGCCCAGAAATAAATCCACACATTTATAGCCAACTGATTTTCAACAAAGGAGCCAAGAATACACAATAGAGAAAGGACAGTCTCTTCAATAAATGGTGCTTGGAAGGCTGGATATTGACATGCAGAAGAATAAAATTAGACTCTTACACCATGTACAAAAATCAACTCAAAATGAAGTAAGGATTTAAATATAAGACCTGAAACTATAAAACAACTAGAAGAAAACACAATGGAAAAGTTTCATCACAATGGTCTGGGCAATAACTTTTTGGATATGACCCCCAAAGCACAGACAACAAAGGCAAAAGTAAACAAACAGAATTACATCAAACTAAAGTGCAAACGAAACAGTCAACAGAGTGAAGACACAATGCACAGAATGAGAGAATATATTTGCAACCTATACATGTGATAAGGGGTTAATATCTAAAATATATAAGAAATTCCAAAAACTTAGTAAGAAAAGTAATTGTCCAATTACAACATAACCAAAGGACCTAAATAGGATTTTCTCAGAAAAAGGCATACAAAAGGCCAACAGGTATATAAAAAGATGCTCAATATCATTAATCACCAGAGAAATGAAAATTAAAACTACAGTGAGAAATCACCTCACACTGTTAGAATGGCTATTATCAAAAAGATGAAAAGTACGTGTTGGCAAAGGTGTGGAGAAAAGGAAACTCGTGTACACTATTGATGGGGATGGAAAGCAGCATGAAAATTTCTCAAAAAGTTAAAACTACAACTATCATATGATCCAGCAATCCTACTACTAGGTATATGATATGGTTTGGCTCTGTGTCTCCAACCCAAATCTCATCTCAAGTTGTAAACCCCATGTGTTGGGGAGGGGTCTGATGGGAGGTGATTAGGTCATGGGGATGGTCTCCCCCATGCTGTTCTCATGATAGTGAGTTAGTTCTCATAAGATTTTATGGTTTAAAAGTGTGGCACTTCCTACGCCCTCACCATCTCTCTCGCTCTCCTACCACCATGTTAGATGTGCCTTGCTTCTCCATCACCTTCCACCATGATTGTAAGTTTCCTGAGGCCTCCCAAGCCATGTGGAACTGTCAGTCAATTACATCTCTTTTCTTTATAAAGTACCCAGTCTAAGGTAGCTCTTCACAGCCGTGTGAAAACAAACTAATACAGAAAATTGGTACCAGAAGTGAGGCACTGATATAAAGATACCTGAAAATGTGAAAGCAACTTTGGAATTGGGTAACAGGCAGAAGTTGGAACAGTTTTGAGGGCTCAGAGGAAGACAGAAAGACTTGTAAAAGTCTGGAACTTTCTAGAGGTATGTTGAATGATTTTGACTGAAATGCTGATGGACAACAAAGTTCAGGCTGAGGTGGTCTCAGATGGAGATGAGCAATTTATTGGGAACTAGAGCAAAGGTCACTCTTGGTATGCTTTAGCAGAGACTGGAGGCATTTTGCTCCTGCCCTAGAGATCTGTGGAACTTTGAAACTGAGAGAGATGATTCAGGGTATCTGGCAAAAAAAACCCAAAAAATTTATAAGCTGCAAAAAGTTCAAGAGATGACCTGACTTTTTTTTTTTTTGAAAGTATACAGACATACGTGTTCACAAAGAGTTGGTCTGAAATTGGAACTTATGTTTAAAAAAGAGAAGAGTGTAAAAGTTTGGAAAATTTGCAGTCTGGCCATGTGGTAGAAAAGAAAAACTCATTTTCTAAAGAGAAATGCAACCCACCAGCTGCAAAAATTTGCATAAATAAAGAGAAACCAAATGTGAATAGCCAAGACAATGGGGAAAATATATCCAGGGCATTTCAGACATTTTCACAGCAGTTCCTTCCATCATAGCCCAGGAGGCCTAGGAGGAAAGAATGGATTTTATGGGCTGTTGCTCTGTGCAGCCTCGAAACATGGCACCCTGCATTCCAGCCACTCCAGCTCCAGCCATGGCTAAAAGGGGCCAAGGTATAGCTCAGACTGTCACTTCAGAGGGTGCAAGCCCCACATCTTGGTGGCTTCCACATAGTGTTGGGCCTGTGGGTGCAGAGAAGACAAAAGTTTAGGTTTGTGGGCCCCTGCCTAGATTTCAGAGGATGTATGGAAATGCCTGGATGTCCAGGCAGAAGTCTACTGCAGCAATGCAGAGGTGAAATGTGCGGTTGGAGCCCTTACTCAGTGGACCCCATTGGTCCACTGCCTAGTGGAGCTGTGAGAAGAAGGCCACCATCCTCCAGACCCCAGAATGGTACATTCACCAACAGCTTCCATCATGCACCTAGAAAAGCTACAGGCATTCAACACCAGCTTGTGAAAGCAGCCAAGGGGGCTGTATCCTGCAGAACCATAGGGATGGAGCTGCCCAAGGCCTTGGGAGCCCAGCTTTTGTGTAACTGTGCCCTGGATATGAGACATGGAGTCAAAGGAGATTATTTTGGAGCTTTAAGATGTAACGACTGCCCTGTCGAGTTTTGGACATGCATGGAACCTGTGGCCCCTTTGTTTTGGCCAATTTCTCCCATTTGAAATATAAGGGCATTTACCCAAGACCTGTACCCACATCGTATCTAGGAAGTAACTAAGTTGCTTTTGATTACACAGGCTCATAGGCACAAGGGACTTTATCTCATATGAGGCTTTGGACTTGGAATTCTGGGTAAATGCTAGAATGAGTTAAGACTTTGGAGGGCTACTGGGAAGGCACAATTACATTTTGAAATGTGAGAAGGACATAAGATTTGGGAGGGGCTGGGGAAAAATGATATGGTTTGGCTGTGTCCCCACCCAAATCTCACCTAGAATTGTAATCCCCACGTATTAGGGGAGGGGCCTGGTGGGAGGTGATGGGATCATGAGGGCAGTCTCCCCTATGCTGTTCTTATGATAGTGAGTTCTCATGAGATCTTATGGTTTAAAAGTGTGGCACTTCCCTCCTCACTCTCTCTCTCTTTTCTGCCGCCATGTAAGACATGCCTTGCTTCCCCTTCACCTTCTACTATGTTTGCAACTTTCTTGAGGCCTCTGAAAACTGAGTAAATTAAACCTCTTTTCTTTATAAATCACCGAATCTCAGGTAGTTCTTTATAGCAATGTGTAAACAGACTAATACAGTATATATGCAAAAGATATGAAATCAGTATGACAAGGGGATGTCTGCACTCCTATGTCCATTGAAGCATTATTAACAATGGCCAAAATATGGCATCAATCTAACTGTTCATCAATGAATGGATAGAGTGTGGTATAGGAACATAATAGAATATCACTGATCCTTAAAAAGAAGAAAATCCTCTCATTTGGGACATGAATGGACCTAGAGGATATTACGGTAAGTGAAATAACCTAGGTACTCAAAGACAAATATCATACGATCTCACTTATATATGAAATCTAAAATAGTCAAACTAATAGAGAGTAAAATCATGGTTACTACAGGTTAGCACTTTGGAGACTCAGGAGATATTGGTCAAAGGCACAAAATTTTAGTTAGGAAGAATAAGTTTAAGAGATCTATTGTACATCATGGTGACTATAGTTAATAATATATTGTATACCTGAAAATTGCCAAGAGAATAGATTTTGTATTCTCTTCATGAAAAATTAGTATGTGAAGTAATGCATATCTTAAATGGCTTGACCTTACCCATTCTACAATGTATACATATATCAAATATCATGCTATATACCATAAATATATACAATTTCTACTTATCAGAAAAAACAATAAAACAGGAAAATATCTAATGAATGAATGAATAAATGAAAAAATGAGTAAGTCAAACAGAAGTCAGGATATAGGGCAGAAGACTTCAATATGAGAATAACCTTTTCCTCTCAACTAAATTAGAGTTCTCTTGATATTCCTTTTTATAACACCTATCTTCCATTCATAGCACCTCTCATGATTTGAATTGCTATGCATGTCTGTTAAGTCAATATCTGTCAGTTTCAATTGATAATCTCCCAAGAGTGGGGACCACTTCTCTTTCGTTTCTTGAATACCCAGCACCCAGGACACAGCATGGTGTACAACATACACTAAATACATATTTATTAAATCAATGAATACACAGATATTTCATGTTATTAAAAAAACAGGAAATTATGCCTAAATGGGAGTTAAAGCCAAAGTATAGTGTTTTATTCAATAACTATACATTAATGTAAGCTGAGACACTTTCTTGGCCCCATCTCATCCCTTAGTCTTGAGTTAGGGGCATAGTCTGTGATCTCATTTTGTCTTCCACTGTCCCTTCATGGAAACACTTATTATCTGTGTTGTGTTTGTTCATGTCCTTGTCTTTTGGCCTACTAGACTATGATCTCCAACATGGAACCACTTTTCATTTGTATTTATGTCCTAAATGCACAGCCATGGTACTGAAATATGGCAATAGGGCATAACCACAATTCTAATGTTCTATTTGACATATGATCCAGAGTCCCTTTGCTTACTGGTGTTCATAATTTTTTTCTTTTATTTGACCTTGTTGTTCACCAAAATTTATTCATGTTTACATAATGGTGGTACAAACAGAAATGCAGCTTTGGTTTCATAATTTACACTGCTAACTTCACATTCATTTGACAGTTTGATTATATTTCTGACAATTACAGATCTTCCCTCCTTCCTGAACCTATGGACATTATATGAGACAGAGAAACGTGTGTAATGATGTGTAATATATATGTGTGATAGGAACACTGGGAACCAAAAACATACTGGGAAGCCCTGGAAGGTGAATAATTAAAATTTGGTGCAAGCTAACTGCCCTTGAGATTTTAAAGTCAGAAAACCCAAGAAAATCTCTTTGAGAAAATTTTTAAATATGATCCAGGCTTTGGAAAGACTGTTTACCGCAAATTAGTAAAATCAGAGAACTCCATTGACTATCATAGAATCAGAAGCACTGAGGCAGATGCCACATGGGAACAGGATACTAACATAGAATCAAAAAATCAAATTTCAAGAGCTAGGTACTAAGAGTGTAATGGGAGTGATTCAAATGAGAGAGTAAGATCTGAGCCAGGACAGCTGGGATTAGGAGAGTACCATTTGCAAATGCAAAGCACTCTACTGTGTTCTTTTGCGTAGTTATCACAACAAACCCTCCAGGATATTCGTTTTATAGAGAATGGAATTGAGGCTCAGAGAGGCTTAATAATTTGCCCAAGGTCGTACTGCTTATAAGTGTCCATATCAGGATTTGAAACCAGATCTGTTTGACTCCAAATTAAGTGTTAAACCCAGTATACAATAATGCCTCCTACTTGATGCCTAGGCTCCCTCTAGCTCATCTGATAGGAATGAATTAGAGCTACAGTTCCTATTCCTGGATTAGAAATAAAGGAAAGAAAGAAAAGGAGGGATGTAGGGATGGAGGAAGGGAAAGAGGGAAGAAGAGAGTGAGAGAGGGAGAAAAACAAATAATGAAAAAGAGAAAAAAGAGAAAGAAAGGAAGAAAGGAGCAAATGGAGGAATGAAGGAAGGGAATGAGGAAGGGAGAGAGGGAAGGGAGGAGGGAAGGAAGGAAGGGAAGAAGGAAGGAAGGAAGGAAGGAAGGAAGGAAGGAAGGAAGGAAAAGAGAAAATTTAGGGTTCTACACTAGCCCTACTGAAAATGAACCTTCAGGGATGTGTGACCCATGACTTTGTATTTTAAAAACTTTCTTCAGGTGATTCTCATACCCAAGAGCAGAGAACCACAGATCTGGAGGGGACTCTTGCTCTAGTTGTGATGTTTGACTTGTTAATTCTAATATTCACTCAAGTTTTTAGGCTGTGTCTTAAGTCTCTTGCCTGTTGGATCTCAGAGTGAAAATTCATGTTGATCTAAGGAAAAGTACTTAAAATTATATTCCATGCTTTATTAACTCTAAAATGCACAATATTTGCCTTTGAATATGTCTGAAATTGAGATGCATCCTACAAGTGATAATGCCATACAGTTTCCATCAGCCAGGCAGCAAATATCATCACCTGTGCTTATGTGAATCTCACTGTCATTCCTGGTGGTCCAACTGGATAGGTACAATCCTTGAAATTTGAGGCCAGAAACTCCTTAAGAATTAATTTTGGAAAGAACATGGGTCCTGACAGTTGTCTAACAAACTTCATTGACAAGAACTAGTAAGATAAAGAAAGCAGCAGCATTAAAACTTGAAAGAAAATACCAGAAATAAGAATGGAGTCTTCTTTTAAGAAATACAGCAATAAAAATGAACAACATACTGGTACATGCTACAATATGGATGAACCTTGAGAGCTAAGTGAAAAAAACAAGTCACCAAAAAAATGCATGGTATGATTCCAGGTATATGAAATGTCCAGAGTAGGTAAATCAACAAAGACAGAAAGTAGGTTAGTGGTTGCATGGGGTTGAGGAGATAAGCAGAAAATAAGGAGTAACTACTAATGGGTATAGGGTTTATTTTGGGGTGTTGAACATGTCCTAAAATTGACCATGGTGATAGTTGCACAACTCTGTCAATGTGCTAAAAACTATTAAATTGCACACTTTAAATGGATGAAGTTGTACAGTATATAAATTATATTGCAATTAAACTATTAAAAAATCTATGACAGAGGAGAAAGAAAAAGAAATATAACATCACCAACTTTCTGGCTGGCAGAGAGGACAATAGTATATGGGAAAAAATTTAAAGATTGAGTCAAAAAGTGGTTTAGAAAAGGCAGACATTGAATGTAAAGTTTTATGCACATTTGAACACTTATTTTGCTTTTTATCACAAGAATAATGCACAGTAGTCCCCATTTTCAATGAAGGATATGTTCCAAGACCCCAGTGGATGTCTGAAACCACAGATAGTACCAACCCTGTATATACTATGGCTTTCAATCTAATTACCTAGATGGCTATTAAGTGACTAACAGGTCTATACACTGGACAAAGGAATGCTTCACATCCGGGGTGGGATAGTGCAAGATTTCATCACACTGCTCAGAATGGCATGGAATTTAAAACTTGTGAATTATTTACTTCTGGAATTTTCCATTTAGTATTTTTGGACTTCAGCTGATTACAGGTCACTGAAACCACGGAAAACAAAACCATGGATAAGCGAAGACTACTGTATTATAAAAATATGAACAACGAAAACACATGAACACAGAGAAGGGAACACCATACACTGGAGCGTGTCAGGGGGTGGGGGCTAGGGGAGAGATAGCAGGGTGGTGGGGGGCAAGGGAGGGATAGCATTAGGAGAAATACCTAATGTAGATGAGGGGGTAATGGATGCAGCAAACCACCGTGGCATGTGTATACATACATGCACGTTCTGCACATGTACCCCAGGATTTAAAGTATAATATATATATTTATATATGTATATATATTTAATTATACATATATACATGTGTATATATATAAAATCAGAATGTGTGTGTGTGTGTGTGTGTGTGTGTGTGTGTGTGTGTATGTATAAATTCAGAATAAATGAGTTCTTTCAATAAGGTCCACAAATATAATTGATAAGAAAGCACTGGGTTATAGTTCAGTTGGCATCATTTTCTTTGCTTATTAATGGCACATAAAATAAAGTGTTTCTTAAAATGAATGGCATCCTGATGTGATAAAATATATTATGTGACTCAGCTACACAAGGCTGCTTTTCCTAGCTGTAAAATACTGAGTGTATTCTTCACCTTCTCCATTCCTAAGACTTCATATCTCTATAGTGGGTCTATTTCTATGGATCTTCCTGGCTCTGAGATATTCTAGTTTTAATTCAAATTTTTATTCATGTCTAGTGGGAAATTTACCATTTATTATTAGATCCTGTATCAGATCACAGGATTAAAAAATAAGGAAAAGAGAAGCAAAATCACACCCATCTAAATTTATCTTCTACTGAAAGAAACATGCAAGAAGAGAGAGATAAAATGATTTCTTGCAGTTTTCCTTCTAATTATATGTAGGGTTTCATTTCTTGATCCTCTCTGAACCTCAGATCCCCAGAGACCTGATGATGAATGGAATAACACATGAAGAGGGGAAACTCTGGGTGTGTGGTAAAAATGTGTTCACCAAGGCAGACAACCGCTTGGGTGGTGGCTTTGGCCTCTGGATGAATTCTCCTTGGTGAGTGACTGTCCCACTTGTAGGTGCTTTCCTGATCATCTGTATGTACGGCACCAAGCAGGCCATCTAAAGCCACTAATCTCAAAGGGAG